GTTCCCGCTAAGGGCAGGTACCACGGTTGCAGTTTGTCCCCGGCCCGGTTGGGTCATGCGGGTGCAACCACTCGATGTGTCCCTTTCACGTCAATGTTTCTCTCTCTCTCTCTCCCTCTCACTCTATCTGAACAAAAAATGGAAAAATGTCCTCGGGTAAGGATAAAAACAAAAACAAAAACAAAAACAAAAAAAGAGAGCAAGGATGTATGAGCACACATTCTATCCGCACTCCTGGAGAAGGGAACAAAAGCTCTTCTGGGCTCTGGATTAGAGGCATCATTTTATATCTGGATGACAGCATGTTGTTGCTGTGGTTGTTATAATCATTAGCAATCATCATTATTATGATGACAGATGCCATGCTGATGCTGAGCATCAGTCTTTGTCAATGCTAGCATAAATGAATACGTATATTAAAGTTCTTTCCACTTTTAGTTCTTTCTCGTTTTGAAGGCTAAACCTGAAATAACATGAAGACATTTATTGCTGTCACCTACTAGCTGATTATATCATCATAAGAAAAAGCTATTTTAGAGAATGCACACAATGAAGGATTTGTACAGCATGTCTGCAGAATTAATATCCCACAAACATTAAAGCTTTAAATTATCATTTCATAACTATTTGATAATATGAAGAATTACTTCTCTAATGCTGACAAAATTGTAGCATGTGAGAATTCAAGAGTTTCCAGGTGGAGACTCAGGGTTCTCTCAGTCAGTGTCCACACCACCATGACCCCTCTGTTTGTTGCATTTGTTGTTTTACTTGCAAAGTGATCGATAACACCTTCTCAGTGACTGATCTTCATGGCAATCTAGAAAATCTCCATCAGAACTCCAATTCATTATTTCTTTGGCACAGCCATTGCTGATACAGAGCCAACAGCTGCTGAGAAAACGATGATCTCGAAAAGGAAACAACCCAAATGGTCATCCTAGTAGAATGGATGAATACATTGGTATATTCATACAGTGGAATACTTTGCAGCAATGGAAATAAAAGAACCACAGCTACCACATCAACATGGATGAACGTTAAAATGCACAATGTTAAGTGAGAGACAAAAACAGAATGCATACAATATTATTCTAGGATCAAAAATTGGACCAGAAATATTGTTAAGATGTGTACATAGCTGGTAACACCATAAAGAAAAGCAAGGAAGTGATTGTCACGAAAGTCAAGACAGTGTTTACCCCAGGGGGAAGAGAAGGGCATGTGACTAGGGAAGGACACGCGGAGTGGTCCAGGATGCTGGCAGTATTCTATTTTTTGATCTGGCTGCCATTTGCGTGGGTCTTCACTTTACAATTATTTGTTAAACTTAGCATTTGTATGTTATACATTTGCTTGAATGTGTGTTCTACTTCACAAAGAAAAAAATATTTTAAGCTAAAGAGACTACTAGAGTAGTAATATGGAGGAACCTAAATCTGTACATTTTTAAATTCTAGTTACAGCCCTGGTCAGTTTGTTTCAGCAGTTAGAGCTTCAGCCTTAGCACCGAATGGTCACGGGTTCAATTCCCAGTCAAGGGCACCATACCTGGGTGGCAAGTTCAATCCCTGGCCCCAGTCAGGGCCATCCAGGAGGCAACCAATCAATGTGTCTCTCTCTCCCTGTCTCCCTCCCTCTCTTCCACTCTATCAAAAAATCAACGAAAATACATCCTCAAGTGAGGATTTACAAAATAAATAAATAAATAAAATAAAATTCTAGTTACAATGACTTATTCAAAGGGAACATGAATTCTTCCAGTTTGTCCTTTCTTCCTTCCATACAGAACTCTTCCCCAGTGCCACCTCCTCTCAGACAGCCCTTTACTTTAATTCCACTCAACTCTCCCCTACCCCTAACCCACCCACATTAGAGTCTCATGGCCTGGACCCTCCCTTTGTTTCTGACACAACAAGAGGTCACCTCTTGGTATGCCTATTGGGGAACATAGGAAAGCTGCTACACTGCCTCACAGCAGTACTGGAAAGAGGTTCAGTAGTGAGAATGGCCTCCAGCCCAACTTACAATATTAATAGTATACACTCCCCACCCCCTTGAAGAGTGAGGGATTTATACACAGAACTGCTTTGCTCATTCAGAATGAAGAGGCCAAACTCCTGATAGCTGACCCCAACATTCCATACAGGCCAGCAACCCCTTTAATATGAGAATTAGCACCACGAGGCAACTTCTTATCACCTGTTCTAGGACATTCTCCAACAGTCTTGACCCTCATTATGAGTATGAGACAAAGATCCTTGCCTGAAAGAACAGTTTGAAAAACCAAGCCCTATAGGACAATTTTTATTCTTAGTCTCCTGGGAACCACCTTAGTAGAGTTCACGCTTTTCCTAACTAGGCCCACCAGAGTCGACAAGAATCAGCAGTGTGGTGAGAATCATGTCTAAAAAGCTCATGCCTGTTACAAACCTAGTTTATCTAAGCCTAACAGAATTCCATCCTGCTACCTAGTATTTGGGGTCTGCACTAAGCTTCAGAGCTGCATGAACCACTACACTGTCTCCTGAAATTGCTTTATAAAAGGATGCATTTGCCAAAGATAATCAGATAGTCTGTACAAAGCATAAATGTGAGCTCTAGCTTTGAACCTATTCTATGTTCTTGGATTTGAAATCATCACCTTTGATCTTAATTTTAGTTTTCTATGGTAACCATGGTTTCAGAATCCTCCTTTCAATTACTGTGAGCAGTTGCATAAAGGAGATGTTGGGTTTAATCTCTTAAACTACATCTGAAATTTCTGCACTGGTCTGAGTGGCAATTCGCTTATAAAATGAACTTCAGACCCTGCTTTCCAAGGCAGACAGTGGTTGTCAGAGCTGAGCAGTTTCATTTTTAGGTCACTCAACTTGGCAGTGGGCTCAGGCCTAAACAGCTTTAGTCTTGGTCTGGAAACATCTCACCTTGCTCCAGTCACTGACTCCCCTTGGCCTCCCAGCCTCAGGCTGTTTTAACACCACTGCGTTTATCAAGAAAATGCACTTTCCAAGCCTGCCTTTTAACCCTCTGTCTTCTGGCTTTCCTGAGAACTCAGGGGCGAGCACATACTTCAGACCATGACCACCTTAATTTCTGCACAACTAGCTCCTTCCATCATTCTGTAGTTCCCCTCCAATTGTTTCCCCTTCTCCCTCCTCCACTGTCCACCCAGTCAAACTCTTCAAGGCCCAGCCCAAGCCCCACTGCACCTTGGCCACCCCAACCCACAAGGGCCACTCTCTGCTCTGAGGCTGGGAGTTCCCTGTCTCCGCTTCTCTGAGCACTTCATTAAAGTGTTTCTTTGTTTTGCTCCTTAACTCTGCTTAAGTCCAGCTGGTTTGCCAGTCCTTATTATCATTTCCCTGAGAGTGGAACCCTGTCCAAAACTTTGTGTGCACAAATGATGCCTGCACCGTGGTGGTCATTGAGTAAAGGCTCGGATTTTTTAACTTCACCCCTGAATCTTCATTCAGCCGGCATGGGCCTCCCCTTTTTCTTCTCACCTGATTCATCTTCACTAACCACTCTCTTGACCCCGCCCAAGCCTAAATCAGGAAAGAACATGGCTTGCTTGTTCTTGTTCCTAGGAAGTTTTTTCATGTAAATGCCACCTTTTTTAAACAACTTTGCTTTCCAACACAGTCTTGGAAGTCCATCCTTTCTCTATCTCTTGCTATACATATTTGCTTGTGCTTAAGTCAATAGTATAATTTTTATTCTTTTTCATCTCTCTCCATTAGATTAGGAGAATCCTAAGGATGAAAACTATGCCTATGCATTATTAGGTAGCCGCAGGGGATGTACATCCAGAGAGCTCAGAGGCCTTTCCTATTTTGCTGACTAACAGTTTTAGGCATAGATTTACAGAAGCCTTCTTCCTCAGACAGTACCATCTATCTCCTTCTAATCCCAGCGAACCCCCTTAGCCACACCATTACACCCTCCTGCTTCAAACAGTCCCTGCCTCACATCACATCATCCACTTTCCTTTGAAATCCTCCCATTGCTGACTCATCATAAAGCCTTTAGTTAAAATATTATTCAATACCAAGCACTTAGACCCATGCTGGCTATTTAAATTTAAATTAATGATAATTAAAAACAATTTATTTCCTCAGTCACACTAGCTATATTTTGCAATAGCCACATGAGGTTAGTGGCTACAATATTAGACACCACAGATATAGAAAATATTCAACATCACAACAAGTTCTATTGGGCTTAGAGAAAGCAAGAGAAGTAATGAAACAACAGCAGAAAAAGGATTTATCAGCAGAATGTGGGGTATTCAGAGTTCTTAGGGACCAGTGTGTCTAAACTCCTGAGGAATATGGTGGTTCATTTTCCCATTCTGTTCTATTTTACTTTCTTTTTTTCTTTTTTTTCCTTATCCTCACCTGAGGACATTTTGTTTGTTTGTTTGTTTTTGTTTTTATCTTCAGATAGAGCAGGAGGGAGAGAGGGAGGAAAAGAGAGAGAGAAACATCAATGTGAGAGACACACATAGAGCAGCTGCCACCCACATGACCCCAACTGGGGCGGGGGACAAACAGCAATTGAGGTACATGCCCTTAGCGGGAACCAAACCCAGGACTCTCTGGTCCGCAGGCCAACACTCTAAGCGCTGAGCCAAACCAGCCAGGGCCCATTCTGTTTTATTTTCTATTGATTTCAAGAAGAGTCTTTTCACAGTCCTTTGGGTAATCTATTGAATCTATCACAATCAACACAGCCAGGAAGTTCTCCCTGAAGTCTAATCTTGTTTGTGGAATCCCTTGCCTGCATAAGGCAGCTGACCTGGGCAGCCCAATATATATGCATCTTTAAATATCTATTTTCTTAATTTTTTTAATGCCATTCATTGCATTTGTAGTTTCATGCTTTATTCCACTGAGATTCTTTTTTACTTGATCCTGGGGTGAGAATATCATTATGGACTCAAGTTTATAAGTAAAATAATTAATAACCTAATTTCAGATGTTCAGAAGTACTTGGAGAGGGGAAACTGGAGCGAAGCCAGAAAAACAGACAATACATTTCACCTTTCCTATATGCAGTTATTTATATGGGTTGGGTTTGGGAATTTTTTGGCTTATTTCTCTGTTTCTCTGTCTCTCTCTCTGTGTTCTCTCTCTCTCTCTCTCTCTCTCTCTCTCTCTCTCTCTCTCTCTCTCCCTCCCTCCTTTCCTCCCTCCTTCCCTCTCTTTCTCCCACTCACTCAAATGCTTTGAAAAAAAATTGAAAGGAAGAAAGCAGTAGTGGTTCCTGTACAAACTCAGGATCTTTAGGATTTCATCTCTAATTGCTCATTTATAAGCATCTTACTCTTTTTAAATTTCTAGTAATGATACTAACATTGAGATTCTCTTATCTCGTTGTATGCCTGCTACATAGAAGAAACTGTCTGTAAATTCACAGTTACACAGAACTTTATGAGAAAATGTATTGTGGCCCCTGTTGATATTCATAATGTTTACTTTACATGCCTTCAAGCTTTAGGCAAAGCCCAAACTATTCCAAGCGTTGCTAAATAGATTTAATATCAGCTTCCTTTGATCCTTGTAAAAGCAACTAAAAATTTTTCATCTTGATCCTGCTAAGAAGTAGTAAATCACATGAATGATAGGGAATGTGCTTGCATTTCTAATAATAATTCCAAAACAGATGGCTCCTATTTACAACTATCACAATTAACATATCACTACTAGGTCTCCGTCATGGCTCACCACAGTTCAGTTTTATGCAAACATCTCCTGCTGCCCTTTATCAGTCTCCAAAAGAATATATTCCTCTTGTCCATTTGGATTCGAAAAGAAAAAAACCTGATCTCTCGACTGCCTATATTTAGTCTTGCATGGATCCTCCGTGTGATTATACACACAAAACTCTGACCCTTGCTCCTAAATGATTTCTCAATATCCCAGCAGAAAATTTTTTGCACTAGGAATCTGTGCCTTTTTTTCTCCTGTCATAAAAAGCAGAAGCTGTATTACTCCTGAAATATAAACTGTATGTCCTTCAGTACTAATACCCCATGTCACAGCAGCCAAATGAGTCATTTTAAATGCTGTTCACAGGGAAGCCCTTTGCTCAGAAGTAATCATGACCATTCAGGATTTCAGTTGTTTTACATAAGAGCTCATTGATATTTGCATACATTAATAGGGATTCCACAAATCCACTACTGCAAGCTGTACTTTTTTTAAATATGTTTTTATTGACAGAGGAAGGGAGAGAGATAGAAACAGCAATGTAACAGAGAAACACTGATCGGCTGCCTCCTGCACACCCCCTACTGGGGATCGAGCCCACAACCCGAGCATATGCCCTGACAGGGAATCAAACAGGGACCTTTCAGTCCATGAGATAACGCTCAGTCCACTGAGCCACACCAGCCAGGCCAGACTGTATATTTGAAGGCATGTGCATAGCTTGGTAAGGAACAATTATTTTAAAAATTACAAAGAAGCTTCAGCAGCCACGGCAGTCCCCACTGTCACCAGGCCGGTGATGGAAGGGGAACAAGGATCAAAGCCATGCACAGAATGAGCAGACTGTGACATTTTTTAATGAGAGAGAAATTTTTGTCTCTGTTCTATTTTCTTGTGTGTTTAACAACTTGGACTCCATACTTGTATTATTGCAGAATTCTCTACAGGAAAATTGGGCTCATCAGGACATTTACACCTTCTCAGTCATACACATCTGGACATGTTATAGCTGAAAATTGGAAAATGCAAGTGCATACACAGACCATGCCAAAAATGAGAATGGGGAACGCCAAGCTCGTTTATCATTCTCAGTGAAAATATTGTAGAGGTGGCTTCTTCTGCAAGAGAAGCAAGTGAATGAAAGGGTGAGCAGAGTGCTAATAACATACCACAGATCAAGATTAAAATGTCAGTGCTTCTGCTCAGCATCTGAGCAGCTGAAATGCTCCTCTGGTTTTTGATTAAGAAAAGGAAGATATTTAAAGAGATGTGAGCTGCATGCCCATGATCCATTTTCAGAAGCCAACCAGACCTCATCAACCAGTAACAGAGATTACGCTGGCAGGGGTTGCTGGCCAGGCTGAGCCCTTGGCAAAATCAGGAGACACATGAATTGGTGTTTCCAGGGGTCTTTGCCAAGGATCCCAAGAAGCCCACCTCATGCCCAGCTTTCTTTAGTTTACTAGCAGGGCATATGTAGAACCTGTAACACTAGCATCTTCCCAGTACCACACAGAATCCATTTTTCCCTTTAGTCAGCAGCTCTCCTCACTCTCATATCTGACCCTAAGTGCCTCAGTGAGCACCAACAACTGGAGACATGAGAGACACCTTACCTCCTCACTTTGCAGACACCTCTATGCTATAAGGGCCTGAGAAAGAGGGAAATGCCTCTCATTCTTTTGCAATGAGCCCATTACCAAGTGAAAGCTAACACAGTTAACTTCTCAATCAGTTTATCCTAACATAGATTTTAAGCATTTTCATGATCTCATCCCAGACAGGAGCCTAGAAAGATACCCCCAGTAGTTCCCCACTTAAACTCGGACTGCATTCTCCCTTCCTCTGGGAACTTCAAACACCTCTCATGTGCCTCCTTCCCAACATTGTCATTTCAACTGTGTCTTTAGCTGTGCGGTTTTATTTATTTATTTTATTTCTATTTTTTAATTTTTGCTTTTGTTGCTTATGCTTTTGGTATCATATCCAAAAAATTGTTGCAAGACTAATGTCAAGGAGATTTTTCCCTGTATTTTCTTCTAGAAATTTTATGGTTTTACATCTTATGTTTAAGTCTTTGATCCATTTCAAGTTCATTTTTGTGAATGGTATAAGATAGGGGTCCAATTTCATTCTTCTGCATGTGATTATCCAACTTTCCCAGCACCATTTATTAAAGAGAGTGTACTTTCCCCATTCAGTATTCTTAGCTCCCTAGTCAAATATTAGTTGATCGTGTGTGCAAGGATGTATTTCTGGGTTCTCAATTCTGTATCATTGGTTTATATGTCTATTTTGTTTTTATGCCAGTACTATGCTGTTTTGGTTACTATAGTTTTGTAATATAGTTTGAAATTAGGACATGTGATGCCCCCAGCTTTGATCTTTCTCAGGATAGCTTTGGCTATCCAGAGTCTTTTGTAGTTTCATACAAATTTAAGGTTTTTTTCTGTTTCTGTGAAAAATGTCATTGGAATTGTGATAGGGACTGCATTAAATCTGTAGATGGTTTGGGGTATTATGGACATTTCAACAATATTAATTCTTCCATGAACATGAGATAGATAGATAGATATAGATAGATATAGATAGATATAGATATATATAGATATTTTTATCCTCACCCGAGGATATTTTTCCATTTTTTTTGTACAGATAGAGTGGGAGGGAGAGAGAGGAAGGGAGAGAGAGAGAAACATCGACGTGAAGGGACACATCGAGTGGCTGCCACCCGCACGACCAACCAGGGCTGGGGACAAACTGCAACCGAAGTACGTGCCCTTAGTGGGAACCGAACCCAGGTCTCTCCGGACCGCAGGCCGACGCTCTAACCGCTGAGCCAAACTGGCCAGGGCGAGATATATTTTTATTTATTTGTGTCTTCTTCAATTTCTCTCATCAAAGTCTCATAGTTTTCAGTGTAGAGATCTTTCACCTCCTTGAATAAATTAATTTCTAAGTATTGTTTTTGATACTATTTATGAATGAGATTATTTTATTTCTTTTTTTGATAGTTTGTTATTAGCATTAAAAAGACTGGTTGTGCCCGGCCAGTGTGGCTCAGTGGTTCAGCATTGACCCATGCACCAAGAGGTCGCCATTTAGATTCTAAGTCAGGGCACATGCCTATGTTGTGAGCCAAATCCCCAGTGGGGGCCATGCAGGAGGGGGCCAGTCAATGTTCTCTCTCACTGATGTTTCTATCTCTCTCTCCTTCTCCCTTCCTCTCTTTCTAAAATCAATAAAGGAAGGAATACTATTTTGTTCAGTGGTTAGAGCGTCGGCCCACAGACCAAAGAGTTGAGGGTTCGATTCTGGCCAAGGGCACGTACCTCAGTTGCGGTTTGTCCCTGGCCCTGGTCAGGATCATGGAAAAGGTGACCAGTCGATGTGTCTCTCTCACATTGATGTTTCTGTTTCTCTCTCTCTCTCCCTCTCTGTCTCTCTCTCCCTCCCTCACTCCCTCCCCTCCACTCTATCTAAAGATAATGGAAAAAATATCCTCAGGTGAGGATTAAAAAAAAAATGCAACTGATTTCTTTATACTGATTTTGTATCCTGCAACTTTCTGAATTCATTTATTAGTTCTCACAGTTTTTTGGTAGAGTCTTTAGGATTTTCTACATATAAGATCATACCATCTGCAAACAAAAAAATTTTATTTCTTCCATTCTAATTTAGATGTCTGTTATTTCTTTTCCCTGTCTAATTGCTCTGGTTAGGACTTCCAGTATTATGTCAAGTGGGACTGGTGAAGGTGGGCATTCTTGTTTTGCTCTTGATCTTAGAGACAAAGCTTTCAACTTTCACAATTGAGTATGATATTAGGTGTGAGTTTGTTATATATGGTTTTGCTTTGTTGAGATAAATTCCTTCTATACCTAATTTGTTGAGAGTTCTTATTATGAAATGAAGATGTACTTTATCAAATGCTTTTTTGCATCTATTGAAATAATCATATAATGTTTATCTTTCTATTCATGTGGTACATCACATTTTTTATTTGCATATGTTGAACCATCCTTACATCTTACTTGATCATGAGGCATGATCTTTTTAATGTGCTGTTGAATTCAGTTTGCTAATATTTTGTTGAGAATTTTTGCATCTGTGTTAATTAAGGATATTGGCCTATAGTTTTCTTTTCTTCTATTGTCCTTATCTGGGTTTGCAATCAGGGTAATTCAGGCCTAGTAAAATTATTTTGAGACTTCCGGTCAAGATGGTGGTGTAGGTAACCGCGGTATCGCGTCCTCCCACAACCACATCAAAGTTCCAACTAAACTACAGAACAACCATCATTCACAGCCACCTGAAATCAAGCTGAATGGAAGTCCTACACCTACAAAATTAAAGAAGAAGCCACATCGAGACTAGTAGGAGGGGCGGAGGCAGACAAGCTGGTCCCACACCCACATGTGGCAGATAAAAATCAGGAGGATTCCTCAGCTGGGAAGGTCCTCCCTGAGGACTGAGGGGTGCCCGTCCCACATCAGGCACCCAGCTCAGGGTTCCAGTGCCAGGAAAAGAACTCCCCATAACTTCTGGCTGGAAAAAAACAGTGGAAACTGAGGCTCAAGGAGGCTGAGGCAGCTGGAGCCCCAAAAAGCTCCTCTTAAAGGACCTGCACACAGACTTACTCAGACTTGCTCCCTCTAAGTTCAAAGGGGAAACAGCTTGAGGGACACCAGAGACATACAGAAAAGAACTGAGCTGTTTGACACTGGAGCCAGGGTTGGAGAAGGAGCTTTCTCCTGGACAGACCATGCTATCAGAGGCCTTTGTTCCTTTGGTGAGCCCTTCCCTGGGGCAGCAGACAGCCACCATATCTGAGACTCCAGCAACTTGGCTCACACTGTTTGCCCCACCCTGGTGATTCCCTGAGGCCCTCCCCAACCTAACTTTCAGGCCCACCCAAGATGTTGCCAGTTGCTTTACCATAGAATTGGCCTGTCTTGGATCCTGCCTGAGGTTTTCCCAAATTCTTTCAAACCAGCAGCATCTGGTCTCAGATAGCCCCATACCTCTCCTTAAGCAATACACGAAAACAAACACAGGGAGGTAGCCAAAATGAGGAGACAATGAGGTCCCAAATGAAAGAACAGAACAAAACCCCAGGAAAAGAACTAAGCAAAATGGAGATAAGCAACCTAACAGATGCTAAGTTCAAAATACTGTTTATAAGGATGTTCAATGAACTTAGTGAGAACCTCAGAGAACTTAGTAAGGGTCTCAAGAGCTTAAAAAAAGACCAGTCAGAAATGAAGGATGCACAATCAGAAATGAAGGAGGTACTAACTGAAATAAAGAATAATTTACACAGATTCAATAGTAGAGTAGGTAAAGCCAAGAAGCAAACCATCGAGTTGTATAAGGAAGCAAAAAACACCCAATCAGAACAGCAAAAAGAAAAAAGAAGAAAGAAGCCAAAAAAAATAAGGATAGTGTAAGGAGCCTCTGGGAGGGTCCCAAAAAGAGAAGAGAAAGAACAAAAAATTGGAAATCCATTTGAAACAATAATGGCAGAAAACTTCCCTAACTTGGTGAAGGAAACAGACATACAAGTCCAGGAAGCACAGAGAGTCCCAAACAAGATGAACCCCAAGAGGCCCACACCAAGACACATCATCATCAAAATGCAAAAGGTTCAAGACAAAGAGAGAATCTTAAAAGCAGCAAGAGAAAAGCAGTTAGTTACCTACAAGGGAGTTCCCATAAGACTGTCAGCTGATTTCTCAAAAGAAACTTTGCAGGCCGGAAGGGAGTGGCAAGAAATATTCAGACTGATGAAAAGCAAGAACCTACAACCAAGATTACTCTATACTGCAAAGCTGTCATTTAGAATTGAAGGATATATAAAGAGTTTCCCAGACAAGGAAAAGCTAAAGGAGCTCATCATCACCAAACTATTATTATATGAAATGTTGAAGGGTCTTTTTGAAAAAAAATGATAAAAAATATGAACAAGCAAAATGGCAATGAATACATATCTATCGACAATTGAATCTA